TTGACGGGAAATAGCCATTATGGTATCGTCACCTTTTGACTTTTCGATGTGCGAGAGATATCTATTAGGATATCATTATTATTGATGCACACTGCTGATATATAAGAGTTTAACCATTGTGGTTTTGTTCTTTCTCAACCTTCTGAAGGATAACCTTTGTTGTATCCTTTGATGTGCACTTTTAATGAGTTTTGAATGCCCAATCAGATTAACTGAAATCTACCCTGCCCCGGGTTAAATGTGAGGGTTTTTTCTGAAAAGAAAAGAAACTCCTACTTCAAGGCTCAAAGGGGTTGACGAGGGTCTATCTCCCTTATATCTCCGGTGTTTGGGGATTGAAACAAGGCCTGTACATCGTTAGCAGGGTCCTACTCAAAAGCACACCGTTTGAAATTTTTGGTATATTACTCATCATCCTCCCTTCAGATATTTTTTATTTAACAAGAGTTAAGTATCAAAAAGTAAAGAAAAAACATTAATGAGTGAATACGAATGGATTAATTCAAGACAAACATATTCAATGCATTATGATTAATATTCAAGAATCAACAAGTTTTGCATACAAGAAAGTACTGAACCAAAGCAAGAAAGATTACAAATGAGAATTGAAAAATGAAACTAGAAATTACTACGTTGAGGAGACCAGTCTCGGTATGGACTTGTTGCTTCAGATGATGATCTGGAAATCTTGACATTTACTGAGTCGAAGGAGACCTCAAATTTAACTGACTGGCCCGAAATTGATAGCCTTTTCATCAAGCAGGTCTTGCACATTTTCTTTGAAAGCCCAGCAGTCTTCAATGGAATGACCTAGTGCCCCAGCATGGTAATCACACTGCACATTAGGATTGGAATCCATAGAACAAGGAGGAATGACAGGCTTCAGTGGCTTGGGTTCCACCAAGGAAAGCTTGAGTAACTGAGAGAACAGTTGGCCATAAGTCAAAGGAACAATGTCGAACACCCTCTTAGGCTTCTTATCCTTTTGCTTACCTTGTTGCGTATGTCTTTGTTGATAGGTTTGTTGCCGAGTAGCACACTGAGCCAAGTGAACACGAGGAACATTCTGGTTTTGATTAACCAACCGATATCCACAACTTACAAACGACTGCTGGTGAGAACTTTCCGGGATTATAGGTTGTGGATGACGTGACTCCGATCGTGAGATAGAACTTTGAAGAGGAGAATGCGTAGCCCTATTCTTTGTAGTGGTCGGCATAAGATTGATTTGCATACTTAGACCTTCGGGAGTGAAGAGAATTGTCCCTGCATCAAGCAAGTCCTGGACTTGGTGCTTAAAAGCTACGCAATCTTCAGTATCATGACCAGGTGTCCTAGAATGAAAATCGCACCTAGCATTGTCGTCAAAGCCATGAGGGTGTTTTTCATATGTAGTGAAAATTCGGAGTTTAACCAAATGTAATTCTAGCAGGGGAGGAAGCAATTGTGCATACAACATAGGATCAAATTTTCGTTCAGGCTGTTTTGGCCTCTGCTGACGGACTTTGCCTTTTGGGTCCTCTCGGGAAGTGACAACTTGTTGTGGATGGGAGGATCCCGGAATGCACGATTGCGAAGGAGATACTCCCTGACCTACGAGAGTCCTCAGGTTATGGGGAGGAATGGTAACTCCTATTGTGGCAGGCATAGAAACATCTTCTTTCTTCAACATTGTCCCCAAAATTTCCATAACCAAATTCAATTGAGTCTTCAACTGAGTGTTCTCTTCGTTCAGGAGTTCTTGTCCACGGACCAAATCCTGCATGTCTAGTACCACAAATCCCATTTGTTCTTTCATCTCGTCCAATTCCCCACGAAGTTGTTCCATATCTTGAATCTGACCACGAAGCGACGAGAAGTCAAGATTTGCAGCTCTGAAAAGAAAATACCGAGTCTGAATAAGGATTCCCCATTTCTGAATACCTTCGGAGTACCTGCTATGGATGCATGAGGTGAATGAGCGGATGCAATGCCATGTTCAAACATTTTTTTTATAATCTTTCACATTTCCTTTTTTGTGTAAAATAAACATGTTATGATGCAAGGTGCAATGACATAAGTTCAAAATTTCAGCATAACAATTGTACAATCCTCTGGATAACTGCTGTATAAATCTGCTGAATAATATGGATATCACAGGATCAAAGGTTCAGAACCAAATTCAGCATACAATGGAACCAAGTACCATGATTAACCGTTGCATAATCTCTGACCAAGTAAAATATATCAGGATCAAAGGTCCAGAACACAACTAGATAACCATCCTGAATACCGAATCCAGAGAAAAAAATAAATAAATCTGAGACCCATATAGTCACCAACAGAACAACAGTCACTATCAGAACATAGTCACCAACTGAGCACGAGTAACCATTTGAACATAGTCACCAACTGTACCTGTAATGATAAATCCCTCCCCACTCACGTGTGAAGACTAGGTCAGGGTGAGATAATGGTAACTCGAAAATCACGGGTCCGCCTGAAAGTAAAATCATCGCAACACAGACGTGCATGATGAAAGTACTTTCAATTGAACCTCATCCGAGCGTGGTATATGACATGACTGCACTAATCGGACCATGTCCTATAGCCGTCATGCCCCCACTCTATTCCTAGGTGTCCTAGTGCACTCTGGCCTGGGTACTGGGCCTTTTACCTCAATAGTAACATCCCCACCCAACATGGAAAACAGAGTCCAGCATAATAGATAACAAATAGGGAAAGCAATAAAATGCAATGCAAACTTATGCTCAGGCAAACATGTACAAATGAGTAAACTGAAAGCATAAAAATATACACCCAAAGAAAAGAAAGCAAGAGCTAGGAGCGACTCCAGGATGGACCAGCATTTGGTCGACCCCTTCCCCAGTGAAGTCGCCAGCTGAAACAACCGGCTGAAAATCATCAAACAATGAAGTCGCCATCGAACGTCTTTTATCCCACATGAAGGGAAAGGTAAACATCGAGAAAACCCGAGAAGGATGAAATCAAGGTCGAACGACCAAGAGATAAGGGTAAGAGAGTCTGTTACGCGAGGGGAAGGTATTAGCATCCCACACGCCCGTAGTACTCTACGGTATCCACTCTTGTTGTCTATCTTATGGGTGTGTTTAATCTATGCTGACGGTTTATTATTGCTAAAGGGAAAGTGCATGCAAAAGAAAAGAGAAAAGAATGTAGGGAAAATAAAATTGTGCTCGCCTGGGCCCTACCCCAATGCCTACGTATCCGTTTTAAGGAATCAGAGCAGCCGTAGTTCGGCCTATATGTTTTTGTTTGTTTGTATTTTTTACTGAACAATATAAATTTCGCCTTCTGCTGCAACTCGACCGTTGGAGACTTACGCGTCAGCACATAAGTGAATTAATACACTCTTTTGAAAAGGGTTTGAAAGAAAGGCCCGAGGGCAAAAAGATTTTTATGTTTGTTGGTGTTTTTGCTTGTAGATAATAGCTAGTTAACCTCAAGAGAGAGATTTTAGCCATTTCTCTATTTATTCATGAAATGAGTCTTTGAGACTTGAATCATACCAAAGCTTAGAACAAGAGAATAATAATGTCGAGAAGAAACCCGCTCATCATCTCTCAAACTTAGCCAAGACATGGTTTTTGTCAGTAAATTTTTATGTATTTTTGAAGTTTGTAAAAAAAAGAAGTTTTTGTTTTTAAATGCATATGCGAAAAAAGGAAAGAAAGTCACAGGAAGACAAAAGTCACAGGAAGACGAAAGTCACAGGAAGACGAAAGTCACAGGAAGACGAAAGTCACAGGAAGACGAAAGTCACAGGAAGACGAAAGTCACAGGAAGACGAAAGTCACAGGAAGACGAAAGTCACAGGAAGACGAAAGTCACAGGAAGACGAAGTCACAGGAAGACGAAGTCACAGGAAGACGAAAGTCACAGGAAGACGAAAGTCACAGGAAGACGAAAGTCACAGGAAGACGAAAGTCACAGGAAGACGAAAGTCACAGGAAGACGAAAGTCACAGGAAGACGAAAGTCACAGGAAGACGAAAGTCACAGGAAGACAAAGTCACAGGAAGACGAAAGTCACAGGAAGACGAAGTCACAGGATGACGAAAGTCACAGGAAGACGAAAGTCACAGGAAGACGAAAGTCACAGGAAGACAAAAGTCACAAGAAGACGAAAGTCACAGGAAGACTAGCCTATTTCTAGATCTAATGTTATCGTGTATTAGACCTAAAGTTAGAATCTTGAGGGAATTCTACCTAGAAAGTAGTAAAGTGCAGGAGTAAAAATAGAGTTGTGACGATACCGAACGGAGAAGGTCTGTCGCCTCTTCATAACCATGCAAGCCATAAGAGAATTCTATCAAAGTTTCCTTGAGCGAGTGATTGAAAATCATGCTCTTAGCTAGCTTTGAAACTTCATGAAACTCCTCACTCAAGTCTCTTTTATTTCAAAATCTCACACAAAATTGGCATTAAAAATCTACCAAAAACATGGATAAAATAACAAACAGCTAATAAAAGAAGTAAAATTCTATTCTAATATTTTTTGAATTTTTATCACGTGAACAATAATAAAAAAAACCATGTAGAAATATCACATAAACTTAGTTAAGAAATAATAGAAAGTATGCAGGGGGTGCGTTGCATAAGAAGTAAGTGGTATATAAAAATGATTCTCTAGGTCCAACTTGACTCCAATAATCTTCTTTTGTGATACACAAGGTTATATAAAAAGTGCTAATGGGCCCAAAGGGGAAAGTGTTGTCTGGCCCATACCCAATTCAAACCTTATCACCATATTTTTTATTATTCTTCAATTATGTTCCGCCATTAATAAAATAACAAAAAATGGAACAAATTGGCACATAACAAAACAACAACGCATTAGTTTAAAGGACGGGGTTAAAGAAAGTGAAGTATAGACTTCCTTGATAACTTCTTCTCTCTCGGAAATCCGACGGATTCATCGCCGCCACCACCGTCCCAATCCTTCTTCAATCTCTATGAAATGAACACAAACCCTTCGTTATGCTTCCTTTAGATCATGAATCTCGCATCAATTCCTTCCAGAAACTTCTCAAATGGCTGGATCAAAGGAGTAACTTTGAAACCCTAAGACGCAGATTTCGCGAATCCGAGCTAAGTCTCAATGATGTATGGTTCATGAATATACAATCAACTGCGAACAATCAAGAAAATACACGGATATATGGAGTAATCGGGAAAACGAAACCTGCTGAAGCTTTTGATACTCCGGTATGGTGGCTGGGAACTCAGGTGAAGATTTGTGCCTTGTATTTATTCACACGGTCTTTCTTCTTCTCTTGGTTTCATTGGTTTTCTGCTCTTCTTCTTCTTTCTTTTTTTTTTCTGCGTTTCTTTGTGACTTCCAAGTGCGTGTATTGATGAGTATTGATAGGAAGGAGCATAGGGTTGTTGCGGTTGTCGTTGTGAGTTGTGTTTGAGTGAGATCGTAGGAGTGTGATTTGAGTTTACAGAGAGATGATTTGATGAAGATGAAGCAGGGTTTCAGAAGTAAGTAAAAATGAAGAGTGGCTTGAAGAATGAAGAGTATTGGTTAGAGAAGAAAGAGAGAGAATTCCGAAAACTTTTTGAGTTCTGGGTGAAAAATGAAGCGTGTTAATGGAAGAGGATAGAAAAAAAATGGTGGAGAGAGGATGAAGTTTGAAACTGGAAAAGAGAAAGTATTCTCCTCTGAAACTTGGAGGGAGTTTGGATTATATAGGTAATTGAGGGAGGAAACGGTTATGTGGGAATCAATCTGAACCATTGATTTGGATAGAGTTTGTTAGGGATTGAAGGGTGAGATTGAGAGTTGGTTACAAGGTGGTTATGCTAGTTGGGAATTCTGTTTGGAGGTAGTTAGAGAGTTATAAAGTTGTTAGGAGGAAATTGATGAGCTGTTAATTAATCTTCTGTTTCCCATTCTTCAAGCTTCTGTCCTACAAACAATTCCTTCAGCAGCCAGCTTTTTGAAGTTTCAGCCTTCCCACCAAGCCTAGTCTTGTGTTGATTGCTAGTGTTTGAATTTGAAATAGTAGGTGTGGTTTGGTTTAGGATCCGATGAGTCCCAAATGTAGGGCAATGAAGATGCTGGTCTAACATTTGCATGTGCATAGCCATCATGTCTCGTCTCCTGTGGATCTCCAAGGTAAGTGTAAATAATGCTTCATCATCAGGTATATTTTCTATGAATTGAAAATCACTACGTAATAATTCATAAAAAGGGAACCCGACTTTTCCCTCATCAACTAAAAGCCAGATCACATCCAAGCAACTATGTAGCCAGGCAATTACAGTTTTGTCAAGTCTTCATGACTTCAGAATAACAGCTTCATCAACTCCATGTTGTCTTTGGTCCCAATTCACCAGCCAATTGAGCATATGGTTGAAGATTCCGGCATATGTCACAGGTTTTAAACTGAACTCCAGATCAGTTAAAATGATTTTGCAACGTAGCTGGCGAAGGTTACTGTTAGTGATATCATTATTTTCAACAGACGGTCCGCCTCTTAGTTTAGATTGTAATTGACTCGAGGAAATATCAAATGATTTTACAGGAGATAGAGCTGCACCAGATGACAGCTCAATCGATGGCTGTGCAGGGGAGCCAATAGTATGGACAGAATTCAATGGAGATGCAGGATTTGAAGTCTGAAAATTAGAAGAATTAGTAATTGTATTTGGAGGAGGCAGCATTCCTGACTGTGATAAGCTAGAAAAGGTAATTGTTGACACTGCTTGACTCATTTGGCCAACCGGTAATTCTGCCGAAGAAACTGAATAAAGAAGGGACGGAAGAAAGGTGTCCCAGTCTTGTCAAAACAACATATATCAACCTTCCCAGCAAATGGTATCCGAAAAGGTTCTGTGCAAAAAATTCCTCGGCGTGCAAGTGCAATCAGAGAAGTATTAACAGCTATAGATAATTCCGTTGGTAACTCGGGAGGTATCACAGAAGTAACAATAAGAGAACAGTTTAGTATAAGTTTATAGTTGCTCCTTGACTTCTCAAACAAACCTCCTCTAACATATCAGCAGACAAGGTTATCTTTTCTTCATCACTAACACAACCTTCACCGCTATCTCGAGGATCAGAAGGCTCATTCATGAGTTTCAATCTACAACCATCATGATCATCAGCCACTTCTTTCTTGGTAACAACAGAAGAATATTTCAAGGCATGATTAGTCAATTCTGTAGCAGTACCAACTATAGGAAAAGCAACTGTTACCAGAGGAACAGGCTCAGGATTTGAGGAAACTTCCTCACAGGCTTTTTCAACATTTACTCCTTTTGCGCGGCTACAATTTTCCGGTTGACCCTGTCATGGAAGCAGAAGAACTTAATGATATTTGTGGCAACACTTTAATCAACTGACCTGTAGCAGTACTCTCGGCTGTTTTGGATCTTTCCTGACTACCCTCATGACTTGGTTCAGATTTAATGACTGTAGAATCAACCAATTTTGAATTGTTAACAGTTGAATTAGATGTCTTAATAGTTGAATGATGAATAAATTCTTGTTTGACAGCAGCATTGTCTAATGAACCTACAGGACCGGCACTAGCTTCTTTCAAATTCTTTTTTTTAAAGTTATCATCGCATGGCTCTGATTTTACCAACCTAAAACTAGCAGTATTTGCATCACCAGCAGTACGTTCCAGACTTGGCAAACTAACAACGGGAGTAGTACTGCCTGCATTTAGTTCAGGCGATATTCTAGAGGGCTCCTCAACATACTTTTGAACATAAGATGAAAGACAGAGATCACGTGAATCGACGCATCTATAATGATTAAATCTGAGTTTTCAATGAAATCCGAGAAGACGGAAAATTCCTCGAGACTTGTGCAGCCAATGACACTGATCTTCTCTAAAAAAACTTTAAACGTTTCCGGCCTTTAACACTCCCAAGCTTCGTACAACCGTCAAGTATCAGAATAGTAAGTGTTTTAGCCAAAAGAACGGATGAATGAAGATCCACCGGACTCACACAAATATAATGCTTTTGAGGAGCTGGTAACGAAGATGGAAATATGGAAGAAGTATAACCAAGATATCCTTAAAACTACTAATCCACATTGACTTGTATTGTGAGCAAAAACTAACGATGATGAGAAAAAATGGCCTTGATCAACATGAATCTATGGTACCATTCCTTATGCCATGACCTCATACTTTTCAATTCAACCCCACAAGTCCTTTGTTTTGTCAAAAAATGTCTTTGTGGGATCCTTGAAGAAGATAAAATTTGAAGCTTAGAAGGATATCCTCTAATCATTCCTCATTGATGAACATCAACAAACTCACACACAAAATGCAAAAACCTTAACCCGCTTGTATTAGGTGCACAGTGACGACTTGAGACATGGATAGAATAATATTCAAAATGTCTTCGAAATGAAACAAAGCATTATCTTCCAATAGACATAGGGAAATAAACCCAAATTTTCAGACTTAACAGATAAAACCTTACAACTTGATTTTTGAGATGAAGAGAATAACCTCGTAGCTTGATAAAGAAGAAATACACAACAATTGTCAATCAAAAACCCTAAATTCACAATTCAATGCACCAGAAGAATCAGTCTTGATTGATAAACACTCCGAACCAAAAGAAAACCCGAGCTTCGCAACCAATGATTCTCTGAACCATGATTCGATAAAACCCGAATTGGTTAATTGAAGAGTGGATGAATGCCATGTCAAAGTCATTAAGCATGTTGTTTATCAGAAAATAATAGCCTTGCTGCTTGAGGGAAAGGAAGTCCAAAAAATGAGAATGAACCAAAACCCTAATTCCCCAACTTGCTGACACCAGGGGGACCCTGAATAATCAGGCTCATTTCACACATACACCTTAAATCAGTTGTAAACTTTAGCTCCCTAACTGCTGGTCTTTTGAGCCTCAGGCGATCTACTTTATGAAAAATGCGTGTTATGCAAATGACCCATTGGAATGATGTAGATGAATGCGAAAAGTCTAAGCCATAAAAGTGAAATTTAGGAGGGCAAATTTTGGGGTGCAACATAGCAATATCAAAGGAAAGGAAGAAATGAACTAATACTTTTGAGTAGGTAGATTGTTCCTAGTTGCTTTCTCATTTTCAAATCAAACACAAACACTTTCAAAAATAAACTTTCGAAACATAAAATATTTTCAAAAGTCCAACACTTTGTATACGTTCTTACGAACGAGAACTATTACAAAGTTTGACTAAACGAAGGCGCCTTTTCAAAATAGTTTCAAAAACCACCACAAAGCATATTTTCAAACCAAAGCAAGTGATCTAGCAAGCAATTAAGAGCCCATAGATGACTATGGATGAAAAGGGTGCTAACACCTTCCCTTTTCATAATCTACCTCCCGAACTCAAGAAATAATCTCAAAGGTCTTTCCTGTTATTTTTAGCCTTTCCTTTTGGATAAGAGAAAAGTAGGTGGCGGCTCTTGCTAACCGCAACATTTGCAATAAAACGCAAAACAACCAAGTCAGTTCTCCCACCGTATCACAAAATTGGCGACTCTGCTGGGGACAAACTTAAAAGTGGAGTTACCTTAGGGCTAGATCACATTTACTTGCTTTCCTTGTTTGACGTGCATGCTTTACATTATGGTTCCTTGTTTGGGCTTGCTTTGATCCTCTACCCGGATCTGGGACACCTTTTTAGGTAAGTAGCAATAGATTGTGGAAATTGTACGATGTAGACTGATATGGTTGAAGCAATAGTTATGTTAGTGTGACGCATTTGTGGGTACCGATATCCCTTGTGTTGAATCGAGGAGAATACAGGATGCTGAGTGGCGTCATGAAGCACTAACTGACCTTAGAACCTTAATTGAACAAACTTGGCCAATTAGGACGTAGTGAGATAATCGGTTTCAGTGGAAAGCTGAAAATTGGTTGATACTCGATACTACACTCATTAAGACCGGCCTTTTGGGATATCTCGGCCGCAAGAAAAGATTGATTATGCTGAGATAATGCCTAAAGGAAAGTTCAGTGATATTGAGATCCCTTAGAACCCGGTTACTATTAACTAGGACAGGTTGAGCCAACTAAACTTCAAGAGGGTACTTACCTATAAACCCCATGCAAGCCTAAACCTAAGTACTTGTTTGCTTTGTGTGCATATGACTATTTGTACATAACAAATTGCTTGCTTTGCATACTTGTACATAATATCATAACATCATACCATAGCATATTCAATAACCATTTCAAGGATCTCAAAGGTCGATGATGCAGGGTCATGTTGTACCATACATCTATCAAAGGGCAAGAGGATTTATTTTTCTCTAAACAAAACACCGTCAAAGATCAAGTACAACTACTTGGGTCAAGGGCTATGATCCACTTGACATGGTGAGCTTGATTCTTGTGGAAGGACATCCACCGATACAAAGTTCTCCAATCAAATTTGTTGATCGACGTTCAAATTCTAACATCTTCTTGTGTTTACCCCGTGAGATCTTTGAAAACATGCATCCATATATCATGCATCATACCATAACAGGTTTTCCCATACAGGTTTTCTCATCTGCTTACTGTTTATTTTAGTAGAGATGGCTATAGAGAAAACATTTAAAGATCTCCAAGCTCAAAACGCTCAATTCCAACAAGTGCTCATGAACTTGGCCAAGGGGCAGGAAGATCTGAAAACACTCTTCACCAAAGAGAGCAAGAAGAAGAAAAAGTTTGTCATCCTCAACGTGAGGAGAAGGTCCAGGGGGCATGTCCAGCTAGTTCAAAAAGAAGATGCTTCTTCTAAAGACAGTCAAGAAGAGGAAGCTGGAAGAATTAGAGCCAACATAGCTACTGATGACGATGACTCTTTTGAGGAGCAATATCCACCGACGGATGAAAAATACAAACAGCTTGAAGACAAACTAAAAGCTGTGGAGATCCAAGTTGTACCTGGTTTGGACTTAGGAGACATGGGTTTGGTATCTGGGGTGGTCATCCTGCCAAAGTTCAAAATCTCTACCTTTGCCATGTACGATGGAGTCTCTTTCCCTAAGATGCACTTAAAGTCTTATGTCCGCAAGATTCAACCATACACAACTGATCAGAAGCTTTGGATCCATTTATTCTAAGAGAGCCTAGTAGGGACTCAACTTGAATGATTCTATCAATTGGATGGTTATCGCATCCATGCCTGGGAGGATCTAGCTGCTGCTTACTACAAGCAGTACCAATACAACACTGATCTTGCACCAACTCGTGTGCAGTTGTAGAATATGACCATGGGTTCCAACGAGAGCTTCAAAGGATACACCTAAAAATGGAGAGATCTGGCTGGTAGGGTGCATCCCCCTTTAACTGACAGGGAGTTGATTGACATCTTCATGGGAACCTTGATAGGACCTTTCTTCAATCACCTAATCGAAAGCTCTTCATCCGGGTTCACCGAAATAATACTGACTGGCGAAAGGGTCGAAGTTGGCATCAAAAGCGGAAAGATCCAAGGAGCTACACCCTCTGATGCTCAAAAAAAAGCCATACAGTGGGAAGAAAGAGTCCAATGTTGTGTATGGTAAAAAGAGTAGTCATATAGGGGCAATCCTGATCTCTAATCCTGCACCTGTTCAACATAGACAGGGAAATAAGCGTAGGGTAAGATATCAAGAAAGGCAGTATGCTAACATCAACATTCATTTGTCTCAAGCGTTACAACATTTGCTGAAGGTGAAACTGAACACACTAAAGGATCCTCTTAAAAACCCTTATATCTCCTCTTCTAAGTA